AGAAACTGGCTACACCAATATATTTGCGTATCACTCACTGATCTTGCACAATTGTAACTTATACGTGAATTTTATTCTCAGATATAACTTTAAAAAATAAAATGTGTATATATTAGCAGACTTTATTTCTCATTGACACACATAAAGCATGAAGTCACCGTAGTTTTGGTACATATTGATACCACTTTGTTGCAGACCGTGCTATATTGGAACTTCACTTTCAACTTTACCAAGGTGGTACACATTGATACCACTTTGTTCCAGATCGTGCTATACTTGTACTTCACTTTCAACTTTACCAAGGTGGTACACATTGATACCACTTTGTTGCAGACCGTGCTATACTTGTACTTCACTTTCAACTTTACCAAGGTGGTACATACTGATACCACTTTGTTGCAGACCGTGCTATACTTGTACTTCACTTTCAACTTTACCAAGGTTGTATATATATTCTTTTCAGGAATTGACTAATACCAGTTTAAACGTAACAAACTGATGTTTATTGCTATAATGGATAACATATATTTCAAACTAGGTTTTGTTTCTTACTAGCAACATATTACTCCTCCTTTCTCCTCTGTCTCTATTTTAATTCTTTCTCTCTTACGTCTTTGGTCTTTTCTCGTCTGTTTAAACGCCTGTTTTTTATATTATATGTTATCATATCCCCTTTTCAAAAACCAACCCGAAAATACCTGGTCCCCTTATATTGTAATACAACGTCTCACAATCACATTGTGTTCTATAGATTCCACGGCGGCTAAACAATAAAAGCTACCATTTTCTCCAATAGTTTTCTAAAGACATAGTGTTGTAATTCCCTGATCACTTAGGGACTGACAAAAATCTGTCGCTTTCTCACCTCTGTCAACTTCCTTCATCCGATGTGCCTTACATCGAACTTCATAACAGTCTTCAAACATCCAGTAAGACATTTATTTGTGTTTTATTTTATCCCATTTTCTTTTAGGTTAACGCCAGTTTATATGATGGTCTTAGCGTTCGATGCAGTTCTCTGGAAACACCTGAGTTCGGGACCCTTTTGGTCAGAGGATGGATATGATGGAGAGAAGTGTAAAAACAACTGGTGGTACAACTTGTTGTATATTAACAACTTCAATAAACAGGGAGAACAGGTTAGATAACTTATATATCATAACATCATATTTCTACAGCCACATGTTAGATATTCAGCAGAGAAACCATGTTAAATATGCCGTGTATCTATTATAACGTGACACTTCTGCAGAGAGAGAGACTATGTTAGATATAACACACAGTAGGAAAGACGTGGAAAAATAATGAAATAATGAAAAAAAAGGGTTCAAAATTGGTAAAATACACGTCTACGACAAAAACTTTATATTTATTTGCAACGTTTCGGGCAATCGCCCTTCGTCAGGCAGTTTAAAAAAGGCTTAGACAGAATCGTTGGTTGGTTAGAATATAAAAATATTCTAAATTACGCACGTACTACGTGTAGCACGTTAACAAAAATATTGTTAGAAGGAACATTGTTGAAGCGGTTCTATAAACAATTTAAAAAAGGGAAAACAAGTATTAAAGTAATAGAAATTGGAATTCAGAAGTTAAAAGGACACAGAAATGTAATAAACACACGCGATGAATGATAAAATAGTAATTTAATAATAATAATGATCAGGGAAATATATGTAGACGGTGTCAAGTTAACAGGGGTGGCAAAGAGATATTAACGGAAGCTGTAATCACTTAAAAGAAAAATGTTAGATATGCTGTGCATTTAGTATATTGTAATATTTCAATAGAGAGGCTGCGTTAGGTATATTGTGTATCTATTACATCGTGACACTTCAACAGAAAGACTACATTAGATATGTTATATGCTTATTATTTTATCATTATAATGTTAAGATTAATTGGAATATGTGAGTGAGTAAAGGAATAGCTTGAATATGGATGTTTCTCCATAAAAAAACTGCACGTTTTGGTTTTAAGAAACTTTTAGGGATGGATTAACTTAGAATTACATATTGCAAAAACATTACCACATTTTTTTACCCTTATTGTTTTAAAGTAGTCTTTTGTATTTATAGAGGTTCATTTGTTTGGTTGTTTTGTCTGTTTAGTGTCTAGGTCCAACCTGGTACCTGGCAAACGACATGCAAATGTATCTGGTTTCTCCCATATTCCTTGTCTCCATTTTCTAGTAAGTTCTTCAGTTCACAGTGGACCAGATGTTTCATACAAGTAGTTTTATTCATAGTGATATACAAACATCATAAGGAACTTTAAAAAATTGTACCTAGTGTATCATAACGTGACTTTGTTATTGCTTTTAACAATTTTAAACCACTGTTATTTGTTTTCTAAGTATAGCATATTGTTGAACATTTAACTAACGACTGTACTATAGTCATCCCGTTTTTCTATTTATTATTGATTTTTATATAAAGAGAATAGGTATAGTTTGGTTATTTTCAATATTTGTAGTCAGCCAGTTTTAGGGGTCATTCTTACCTGTGCGGCGATTCTGAGCTCTAGTACAATAACGGGAGTATTGTCCATCAAACACGGATTCGTCGCTTCACCACCACGTGGAGGGGAGTCTGGACCCAATGAGAAGTTACAGTTAGCAGCGTAAGAAATATTAAAAATTATTATTTCAGCATTAAATTTAAATTAAGATAATTTCAAACATTTCAATTAACTATAGGCATGCTATAGACATTCGCAGTATTTAGAAAATCACAACATACAATAAATATCCGTGGCTACTATGTGAAGAAAATGTGAAATTTGATGAGAAAAAATGAAATACTGAAAATAATGGTTTTGGTTCCTAAAGATCTATGCATGTATACGAAGACGTTTAACTCCACCATGGCCCTCCAGTGGCACAGCGGTATGTCTGCGGACTTACAACGCTAGAATCCGGGTTTCGATACCCGTGGTGGGCAGAGCACAGATAGCCCTTGTGTAGCTTTGTGCATAATTAAACACAAACAAACAAACAAACTCCACCAAGGTGAAAAAAATACTTTTCAGTTACTTCTGCGCATGTATGATGACCTTATTTTTTTTAGAAATGAGATGACATGTAGATTGACCTAAAGATCCGAGGGCACAGTTGAAACTCATGCATGAATTTTGTTTTGTTTCTTTTAAATATTTCTAACTTGAACAACACCTTAAGCGATACAAAAAGTCAGAGTCCTTAAGGCTCAGACGTAACTGTACTCAATTTAGAACAACACACCAGAAGGAGGGAAGCTTATCAGTAACACCCACCGCCTATATGGCTACTCTTAACAGAATAGCAGAATGACTTATCCTTTTTGCAGTTGGAAGTGCAGAGTGTTTTCAGAGGCATATCGTGTACTCGAAACTTCTAACCACAGATACGTAGCCCGAAATGTTAACTACAGGCCAATCTCAGCCCTAAAATAAGATAATTCAACACTTGTTCTTGGGCGCTAATTTTTAAGCAATGTATTTCAAAAGCTGTTACAGTTAAAGTGAAGTTGTGATCAAACGTTTCCAAGTATTCAGGTAGGGTAACGTGAACAGTTTTGTTAAACTAAAGAGAGTACATAGTTTAGTTTAGTTTATCATCATGAAACTACAAGAGGCGAAACATGCAACAATAATATTTGTTTATGTTCAGGGCTCCGATTTTTATACGTCAAAAATAAAGTTATGCAACCCTTATCTAAAGTAAACAGCGTAAAACAATGAACATGTAAAAGAAAGTTAGGCATGATTAAGATAATTATGCTATCAACAGTTTTTAACACTATTATTTTTATTAAATAACAATAATAAACACTTTTAAACTTTAGAGGCCTTTTGACAGGCCACTGATTATTCACTGTCTGGCTAGCGAGCGCCACTCGCGAAGCAACAAGAAATAAAGATGTTGTAACTGAGGCAATATTCACACTTGGTTCGTTTCTAACGGCCTCAATTCTATTCGTTTGCTATGATGAGTGGGCTAATTGTTCGCACTTGCTTTGTGTACAAACGTGCCGAGTTCGTTTGGAAATGGCCCGGCATGGCTAGGTGGTTAGGGAGCTCGACTCGCAATCTGCGGGTCGCGGGTTCGAATCCCTGTCACAACAAACATGCTCACCCTTTCAGCCGTGGGGACGTTATATTGTGACGGTCAATCCCACTATTCGTTGGTAAAAGAGTAGCCCAAGAGTTGGCGGTGTGTGGTGATGACTAGCTGTCTTCCCTCTAGTATTACACTGCTAAAGTAAGGACGACTAGAGAAAATAGCCCTCGTGTAGCTTTGCGCGAAATCCACAACAAACAAACAATCGTTTGGAAATGAACTGAAATTCGTGTTCATACTTCACTTTCATGTTTTATTAGCACTCACTATGACCTTCCAATTTTAACATCAAACGAACCGAGACCATCTCTTCTAGTGGACTCATTTCGGTTTGATTCGAACTCTGTTGTTCACGTTGTTCTTCAAAAGAACCGAACCGTACTAAAAAAAAAACAACAACAATGTGAACAAGCCCTAAGTCAAAGTTATAACTCTAACAAGAATGGCCTAGATTTGAGATTACTTAGTCTAGAAATTCAGACTTTGACTGGGTATTCAACTATTGTTTATACACTCATATGTAAATTATTCAAAACATGCTGCGACCGCGCAATCGCGTTAAACTCTGGGCTCTATATGAATTTAGATGTATTGATCATATTAGGACCACTGTCGCTTCGAGCTATGTTTATATACTCATCAATCCCACTAGATGGATGATGGGGAATGTTAACCAAACGTGCTTTATATGTTTATTTTATTTGAGTTACACTTTAGTGTGGATCTTCTTTACCTACACCAAACTGTTCACACTGTTTCATGCCAAAACAAAAATTCAGAATATTTAGTTATTCAGCTAAAACTTCAGTCTTAGGCTCGTAAAATGTTTGTTCAACTAATAGTTGAAAATTTTAACTTAAGTGGTCATATAAAAATTCGACAATAATACAATAATGCCATTTCGCATAATACCAGAGTCATTAAAATGTGAATTACATAATTTAGCAAACTAATGATGCTCGTTATTGATTTTTAATTATATTGTACTTTATTGATTTATATGTATATTTGTTTACCCAAGCTTAATATCTCCGATAACCAAACACAAACATTTTCTATAGATATTTCTTCTTAAATCGTATTCAATGGAAACTTTCTATTATATTTCGTGGTGGAATAGAATAACAAAGTAGTCTTATTTTAAAGCTTCTTTAGTCTTGCAGAAGCCTACTTCAATACAATCTACCAAACACCCTGGTGTCGGATTGGTGCTTATCTAGTCGGCATTTTACTCGGATACGTACTGTACAGATTAGGACAGAAGAAAAATTTCCTTAACAAGGTATAATAGTACATAGTCACTGGTTTTATACCAAACAGGCCCATAGCCAAGAAAAAAAGCATTTTTTGCTGTTTTCTAACCCTTTATCGACCGCCTCGTTTAATTTACCTAGAACAATGGTTTAGTAATTATATCAGCATGACATTTCAATATTGTATTATTAAGAATAATGATTGCATTGTGCACAGAGATTTGTCCCTTAAAATAAAATTGTTTACAATTTATGTGTGTTAGTATAAAATATATACCATTATATGAAGTCCAATAAGAGAAATTAAGATTGAGTCACATTAAGATGATTTTTAAAGTAACAAAATTTCTAATCCTCCAAGTGATCAAGTTCGGTCTGAAAAGTAATAATAAAAACTCCTGGCAACGGGCTTTATACTATGTGTCTAGATAATGTCGTCTTAGTTTGCTTTGCATAGTTGGAAGCGTTAACAAACTGTTCTAATATTGTGTAGAGACTGAGTATTCTTACCAAACTGACTTTTCATGACTTCTGTTTCATTTTAAAGTAACGAAATTAATGAAAAACAATAAATTATTTTAAGTCAACCGAAGCATATTTTAATCATGTCTAATAATTGCGTTTAGGCAGGTGGAAGAACGTGGTTATCAAGCCCGACTATCAATCTGTAGGTCCATTGTTTGCATCCCATCATTGCAAAGACAGAAATCTGTATTTACTCTGTGGGTGCATTATAACGGTTATGGTCATATCCCACTATTTGATCAGACAAGAGCAACTCAATTTGCTGATACCTTCTGTTAACCCTTTCGAGATGGGTCACATGTGAAAGGCTATGTCATTTGTTGACTCGCATTCAAAATTTTATTGAGCTACTGTTTCATGAATGTATGTCAATAAGTTTGGTATCAAACTGTAGATTATAATTAAAATTTTACTTTTATTAAATTATTCATGGTTAGCTTTATTAACGTGTCCGTGATTGGCTTTACTGACGTATCTATAATAGGTTTTACTAACGTACACATGGGTGGCTTTATTAATTTATTAATGGTTGGTTTATTGATATAGCCAAGATTGACAATACTGATGTTCTCATGCATTGTTTTATTAATGAATCCATGGTTGGCTTTACTAATCTTTCCATTGTTGGTCTATTGATGTATTCTAAAAACAAATCTCATTAGCTGTAAAAGCTATAAATTGTAATAAAATATTCTTAACATTGTTTTTATCCTTCTCAGTGTTTTCTTTTGATATATGCATGTGTTTAATTAAACAATTACGTTGCTTCTACAGTTTGAAATTATAAGTGTGTTTACTTTTTACACTTACTATTTCTAACATTAGATTTTTCAATATACAAGGCATTGTAGTTAATATAACAATTAATGTTTGCGAAAGTTGGTTCATTTTTTGTGTATTAAACTATACTGACTTGAACTGTTTCTAGTGGCTGGTTCTTCTCGGCTGGTTGCTAGCTACAGGAATATGTATGAGTATTCTATACGGTATGTACCATGCTAATCCAGGGGTCAAAGTCAGTGCCTTTTACTTCTCAGTGTCACGTACCATGTGGGCAGTTGGTTTAGCATGGTTGATTTTTGCCTGTGTGACAGGTCATGGAGGTAGGTTTAAAGAAATTATAAATAGTTTTTCATATTTCAAATTACGTTATACTGGCTGGATTATAGTACACATAATTATGAATAAATGAAACGAACCGTGAACTTCAGAGAATCTTTTAGAGTTGTTTTATTTGTTCAACGTTTGGGCTTTACGCCTTCATCAGAAACATACAATTTCTGTAATGAATTCTATTACTCAGACGAATTGCACTAGTTGACTGCCCGTCATGTGATAGTAAATGCTGATTAATTTTTTTTTCTGAAAATAAAATCTAAATAAATTTTTATAAGGGTGTTTTCTAAAAATTAATTATATTATAGTAACAATGTATGTATTAAGAATGTTGATCATTTTTTCTAGTATTTCACGAAAATAATTTTTTTTTTAAATATTTGGTCGTCTCTTGTAAGTGGCCCTTGATTATAATTTTGATTGATATATACCACTTTAAAAAGCCTTATGGATTGAATCACACAAAAAACTGGTTTTCGGAGAAATATTCTTAGTTAAATATCTGAACCTACGATTTATTAATTGCAACGACAAAGGCAATGAATTTTATTGTAAAGGAAAAGTGCACGAAGATATAACTTTTCTTAAAAATTGCTTATAAATGTTTTAACTAAATTTTTAAAATTTTCTTACCTAAAGTGAAAAACATCAATAATCTATTGGGTTGAAAATATATTTAAGTTGTTTTTGAAACATACAGTCACTGGTATTTATTATGTGATGATGTTATCCCTGACTTAATCTATAATTGTCTGAATATTTCAAGAACTTTTTGTAGGTATAATAAGAAATATATAACAAAATAAATATAATAAGAAAAAACATAAAATCCAGATTTGGTTGGGATCAGAACGCGAGACTTTCACATAATAGTCGTACGCTACAACCACTGTGACACCCAGTCTTCATACTCAAATCCAAACAAATAATTCAAATCCTTAATATTAACTATCATGTTATGGTGTTTTTTCCTAATATTGTAATATCGTAGTCTAAACATGATGAGTTAATAATTAAAGAAAAGTTATAAAAAATACCCACTCCACAGGGATTTGAACTCAAGACTTTCGCTTGAAACAAACCACTGAGCCAATTTGAACGTTACCAACAGAGAATCGAGCGTTACAAACAAAGGGAGCGTTACGAACATACAGTGGTTTTTATTATATATATTATAAAGAAAAAATAACTTGCATGGTAAAAAGGAAGCCTCTATAGGAAAGTTAAATAAAATTAAGGAAATTGAGCAAGTAATGTTTAAGTTATCATTTAAAAGCAACTTAGTAAAATTAAAGAGAGGGGCAGTCTGTTATATTTGTTCATTATTGGTTTACATTTTCAATTAGAAGTGGTTCTCTAATTTTCCGATATAAGATATCGTTGAATCTTGTGAGATTTTACATGTCTTTGGTATACCATGATTCAAGATATAATGTTTAGCTACTGCACTTTATTCCCATCTCTATTTTGCTTATGTCCCAGGTATGTTCATTGATGCGTTCATGGAAGAGTCTCGCAGTTTCCCCAGTGTAGATGATCTTACATTGTATTTATTTTATATAGTACATGACATTATTTGTTAAATAAATTCATCTCACATTTTAAGAGTTAACAAAACAGTACTATCATTTTGAAGTGTGTAGTCAGTATGAAAGCAGATCTAGTAGTAGTATGTTTTGAAGCCACACTTGGTTTCTGTATTACTCTAAGTAAGAGACTGGATTTTTTACAGCTTTGTGTAATTGCTTGGTTAGTTCATTGCTGACGTCAGGTATCGTCCATGTAGCTTGAGAATTCGTATGGTTCTGTTTTTCTTGTTATTTGTTGAGTATATTTCACACTCAACAAATTTCATATTTTTTCTTCAAGTTGTTGAAAATATATTATGTAGGCATTCGGAAAGCTGTGTTGTAGAAGAATTTGTGTAAGGTCAGCCATTTTGTCATACTGTGTTTCTGCGTCTGAGTATATTCTGTGTATCCTATGTAGGTGCTCCATAATCATTCCTTCTTTACAGAAGGAGGATGGTTTGATTCAAAGTGTAGAATTACCGATTTCTTATGCTATTCTGCTGTGTACAAATGTGTATATTTTTCATCTTTCATTACAGAATGTCTCGAAAAGCAAGTTTGGACGTATTGATCGAGGTTTCAAGAGTGAAGTTAATTCTGAGGTGTAGTTGATTGAAGTGGTTGTGTAAATCAATTAGGTGTTCGTAACAATACCAGACTTTAGAACCAATGTTAGTTTTTGTTTCTAATCAGGTGGCGCTTTTTTCTTTCAAGAATGTGCATGTACACAAAAGAAACAACTATCACAACCTTATTACCCATAACTATACCTTGGATTTGTTGTTAAATATCAGTTCCGAGACGGCCATAACTGTCAGGAAGAGTACGACGATTGGTCCCTTCCATTAAATCAATCGATAATTCCAGATGATATCTGGCATTTGGGTTTTCTTTTAATAGTTTGATGATAGATGTTAACACTTCTTCAATACGAATGTATGGAGATAAGGCAATCACGTCAAAACTAAACACAATACTGCCTGACTGTAGGTTTAGCTGATCATTTGGAGCTTCTGTAAAAAATCTTGGGTACTATGTAAGTGGCTAAGTACCAGAGCCAAAAGACCATGTTCAAGTTTTTCAATTTAACCAGGATAAATTTTCTGTGGATGATTCACACGCTGAAACAATGGGTCTTACAAGGAAACTGGGTTTATGCGTCCTTGGGAGACCATAAGATTCTGGTATTCGCGAGTATGAAGATTTTATTTATTGAATCAGAAAAGCTGGAATGTTCGAGTTTGTTTTGATTGGGTATGTCATATACATATTTTAGTTTCTATTTGGCTTTTCGAGTTCTGATTGAGTTTAACGTAACTGTTAGTGTCTTGTGGATGATCTATATTTTATCTACGTAGGACTGTTTCTTCAAAACAACTGCTTTTATCAGAAATCTTAATCATAGTATCGTCGTCATGCTTTATATTATTTAAATCTTTCCTGTTCTTCGAACGTTATGTTTCACTGAGTGTCTTTAAAATCATATAAAATGTTTTGTATCTTTATTTTTAGACTGTCTGTCTGTTCTTTACATACAATATTATCTAGGTGATTTGGAGGAGACTTTGGCTTGTCTCCTAGAGAGTTGTGAAGATGAGGCATTATCATTACGTGTTGTTCAGTTTAATAATTTCCCGTTAAGATCACTATCTCTTATTTCATGGATATTATTCAGATTGGTATCAGTATTACTTGATTCACTGCTTTTAATTTTCTATCCAAAACTATATAAGATTTTTTGTAGGAAAGACATCTAATTTAATTATTTTGTTGATGTCATCAAGTTTAATAGGAAGAACATAGTTCGGACTTTTCTCAAAGAGATTAACTATGTCAGACTGAAAATAAAATCATTCTTTTATTACTACTTCAGAGGTATAAATTTCAGTATTTCCATTTTAAGAAACCATTGATTTTGAATTAGTTCTACCATCAGAAGATTTATTTTGCACACGATTTTGTGAAAATAAAAAAATAAATTGTTGAGTCTATTGCCTATTTCTTTTTAAAAAATTGTATTAGTTGTTTGTAATAACCACTTTTATAAGTTGTTTTCTGTGACTTCAAGTTTTCGGGGATGTTCATTCAGTACATAAATAAAGCAGAAGTGGAAAAAGTGCATTGGCTGAACATTATAACTTGAATCATGATATACCAGAGACGATTAAAATTCTTGCAAGATCCGTCGATTTATTAAATCAGAAAATCAAGGAATCACTTCTTGTAGAAAAATATAAACCAACAATAAGCAAGTACAATGGATGATCGCTCTCTTAACTCTTTTGAACCTATAATATTTTGGGAGTTCTACCGGAAATGTTTTCATGACGTCCTAATAATTATCACCATACTTTATAAAATTTCAATTTTCTTAATTTTGTTTTTCCTTCAGCATCAGGGGTACCCACATGAAATTTTGTTGAGTAAATAGCTTCAAACCTTACCCTGTTGAACATTTGGTGATAGAAGGATGTGTAGAGAGAGTGGTGGGGGCGAAGTAGTCTCGAATGTTCATTCGTTTGTCGGTGCCCATTAATGTTGCCATCGCAAGAAACTTCAACAGCTCATGGTTGGTAATGGGAGTCCAGTTCAAATGCTTCGACCGTCTCCAACCAGGCGTTTACTTTGTAACTTGTGCTTTGGTGTACTCGCTCATAGCAGTGATGAGAGCATTACTTACATCTTCTGTAAACAAAGCTCTGAACCAGTCGAGAGGCATTGACTTATCATTGATGTCGGAGTGTACATCAGGATCACGTCTGTTCTTCGGCAAAACTCAAAGGAATTACTTGTTGCTGACCTATCTTGCAGATATAAATCAGCCCAATCATTATCTCTGGCTGTGATAGTGGACGTAGATTTAGGGGGTGGATCAGGTCTAGCTGGGTCTCGTTTTCGTGGCCTGTTTGTACCACTAGGTCCTGGTTGGGGCGATGCCCCTCTGATAATCTGATTGAGAAGCAATGGAACTGGGTCTCGAGGACTGTTCTGAGTAGCTTTCATCACAAGAGTCTCTTCCAAAGTCAAATTCAAGATCAGAATCACCATTGTTCTCACTCCCTCCAACCGATTGAACAGACTCATTGTTTGTTCCGTAGTAAAACGTTTCGGTGGCCTCTTTCCGTTCACCATCTTTGTTTTACAGTTGATGTAAACAAAATGTTAGAATTCACAAGAAAACACTGAAAAAATAGGTCTTCTAACCCAACTTGTTGAACAGAAACAAACGACAATACTTCATGGAACTTCTCGTCTATTTATAAGAGGTGGATAGTAACATACTTTGGCTTAGTTTTCAGCCAAAAAAATATAAATGCTATCTGACGCTAGGAACGTCCGTTCGGGTTTAAGGAGTTAAATTTTACTAAATTTCTGGTAGTTATTAGCTTAAACATTACTTATACAGTTTTCTGAATTTTATGTAACTTTCCTGTATAGACTTTCCTTTTATTACGTAAGCTATTTTTTTCTTTATATAACAATAACGTTTATATTATACAAGGAAAAGTACCCATCCCCAGTGACGGGAAAAGTTTAGGTTAATCTAGGAAAAGTATCCGTCCCCAGTGACGGATTTTGTTTGTAATTAAACACAAAGCTACACAATGAGCTATCTGTGCTCTGCCCACCACTGGTATCGAAACCCGGTTTCTGCGGTGAGTGGTATATGTAGCTCAGAGTTTGTATCTGAGTGAAACCAAGAGTGCAACACAATTAACCTTTTTAAAGTCCATGAAATAATTTAAATTGATAGAGTAATTTAAACTTTTTCCCGTTACTGGGGCGCCCCCAGTGGCACAATGGTATGTCTGCTGACTTACAATCCTAAATATTCTATGGAGTTCACAGTCGTTTCATTTATTCATAATCATGTTATATATAATTTATATTGTTTAATTTTATTTGCTTGGCTGAAATATTGGTGTCAGTGACAAACTATAAAACCTACTTTACATTGCATAGTAAAGGCACTATTGGTTTTAATATTCCAATCTTATAAAATAAAAAGGCCCGGTGGTTAGTATTGAACATGCTTGACCTTTAAGTTGTGGGAATGTTATAATGTGAAGGTCAATCCTATAAAGTGGCCCAAGAATTGACGGTTGGTGATGCCGGCCGTTGTCTACCCTGTGATCAGTAGTTCAAAATTAGGGACGACAGAGGTAGCCTTAATAGCTCTGCCTTAAACAAACAAAAACAAAGCCAACAGGAGTAGTTATACGATACAATTCGTGGTGTTTTCTCAGTATGCTACTTATATATATTTTAACAATCAGTGCTATAATCCGGGGTTTGAACCCACGCAGTGAACAGAACCCAAATAGTCCATTGTGTAGCTTTGCGTTTTAACATAAACGAACATACACCTGATCAGATATTGCGATTTGTGACATGCTATCCGTAACTATTTCTCTCTTCCAAACACTATAATGCTAAGAGCGAAGGGTATGTCAGGGTAAGACCCCCACCTGTTTTCACGTGGTGTAAGTTTCATTATCACAAAATTTCTTCTCCTCTTAGTGCAATGATGTCATTTCAACAAGATCTTGGGAGAGGGTAGCAAAGTGGAACCTTAATTTTTACAAGATATATAAACTGTTGATGACGAAGCTCGTTTCGGAGTTCATACATCAGCTGTAATAACTACAGAAAAGCCAGAGGGTTATGAGGAACAAACAAGAACATGAATATTTCAACTTCGTACTTTCTACATATATATATTAATATTAGCAATTTCCTATAAACACATCCCATTGACCAAACGTTTCTCAAAAAGAAAGAAAAAAGGCTTGGATAGGGCGACTATTCCTCGAAAACATTTTACTTTTCCCAAAAATTCGTAGTTCACATATTGCGAGACAGAGAGAAACGGTTCTGATTGATAAATATATTATACTTCATGGCACTACAAGCGATTACAGAGTAAAATGGGCTTGAGAAAAATATGTCTGTCGAAAGGTAGCTGTTTAATGAATCAATTTTTTATGTATATGTTAGTGAGTGTAATATTTCTAGTCTAGAGCAATTCTGTCCCTAGATGAGTAAGGGGAAGTTCACGGACTCACAACTCTACAATCCGGAGGTCGATTCCCACGATGGAGAGAGCGCAGATAGCCCATTGTGTTGGTTTGCTCTAAATACAAACAAACCTTGAGCAACTGACGAATGGGGCTCTTTTGCTTTCCTCCCGGAATTTATGGATGAATTATTTTCGGAAAATGAACATTTCAAAGATCCTCTTCAGTCCAACGTTTGTGTGTTGGACTGAAGAGGACATGTGAAAAAGTCTAATTTCCGTTTAAATTCGGTGTTTTTCTGTTAGTGTAAATTACTTTACACTGCACTGTGTATTTACCTATTATTATAATACTCTCGTACATTGTTTGACGTTAATACATTCTTGTCTTTGTTACGTTAACGCCCACTGTGATATACAGTGTTGGATATAATTATTGAAACAATGAATAAAATGTCTATAAAATGCTAATATTATGGGATTGCCTCCTTTCTATTGTGTGAAAATGAACTGCACCAGAATCCAATAATATGTTGATAGTTTACACTGTGATTGACTGCCATCAATCTAATCATACTGTGCCACGCCAGCATAATGTATATAAATGTATAGTCAGTAACAATATTACCGGTAGTAGTATGGTAAATGCATTATGTTTCCAAGGGGAGAAATGTCACACTAATAAGTAGTGTAGAAAACAATGTTTTGGCTGGCTAAGGCTACTGTATGCGACAGTTTGAAGCAAAGTTTCATGTTTTAATAGGAACTCTATGGAAACACTGAAGAGCGTACGTGTAACTATTATTGCTGATAACAGAAGCGATCGAAGTAGAAAGCTTAAACTCTTTAAAAGTGATGTTAAGTAATTCGGAGTATGCTCTTTACGCGATACACAACAATCCAGTAGAGATCGTGTCACTGCTTTTGGGAGAAAATCAAACCAAAAGGCTGAAATGGGCATCAGATTTCAAACACTGGGATGAGCAAAGTTGGGGGAGGGTGTTCTTTGAAGATGAATCAAAATTAAAATTGTTTGAAAACAATGCATAATAGTTTATTCAATAGCAGAGAGGAGAACAGTCTGTTTGTTTTGTTTTGAATTTCTCGCAAAGCTACACGAGGGTTATTTGCGCTAGCCTTCCCTAATTTAGCAGTGTAAGACTAGAGAGAAGGCAGCTACTCATAACCACCTATCGCCAACTCTTGGGTTACTCTTTTACCAACAAATAGTGAGATTGACCGTCACATTATAACTTCTACACGTCTGAAAAGGCGAGCATGTTTGGTGGGACGGAGATTCGAACCGAGGACCCTCAGATTGCGGGTCGAGCGCCCTAATCACCTGCCCATGGAGGAGAACAGTATAGTAACCAACATACAACACCTACAATTAAGCATGCTGGGAGACCAATACAAGTGTAGTTTGCATCTTAATGATATTCTGACTGTCATTCTTTCAGGAAAATGGGAAAACCTGCAAGGAAAAAGCTTGTTTGTTATTAAGCGCAAAGCTACACAGTGCTGTGCCCACCGCTGGTATATAAACTCGATTTTTAGCATTGTGAAATCTCTGACTTGCGGCTGAGACCGATGGAGCACTCACAACCATAGTTTGGCTTGCATAAATTCGTGATATGGATATCATTAAGGCTTTATGGACTTAAATGGAAACTGAAAAGGTCAAACGGAAATCAAAGAGCTTAGCTGAAGTACGAGAAGTAATACAGGACACTTGGAACAATAATTCACTGATATACTTATGGTAGTATAAAAACAAGATGTACTGCTCTATTTAAAGCAAATGCAAAATACTGGTGTACTGAACAATATATTTACTGTAATAATGTACAGAACTAATGACAAATAACTTGGCCATTTAGTTGCAATTAACACAAAATACCCACGCCTGCTGTGGGATTCAAAGCTCCTCATGATTCACAGAGGACCCAATGTACCGATCAAGAAGTTCCTTCATTATCTGCAATTATTTATATTGCTATTCCAAAGGAGGTTCTACACCCCCCCCTCCTCTCAGGACACCTATTCGTGTGCCGGTTTTGTTTTATTTTTTGTGGCAACATATTTTTAAAATACCTCAATTCTTCGAAACTTTAACTTAAATTTATTACAAAAATAATTATGGACCAGTTTGAATTTTATCAAGTGTTTTTCGAGCAACGTACTGATTGAATATCTTAAGTTTCTCTAAACTTTTCTTCATCGAGGCTTTATGACAGTCCTTGTCAGGGCGACTATAGAACTCTCACAATTTAATATTTAAGATGTTTTGTAGAATCCACGTCATTCTAAAGTTTTATTTTTCATTCCAGGTCTTATCATCTTTTAGTTTTATATCATTTAAAGACCACAAACTTTCATTTTTTCTCCATTAGGTTTTATCAACACTATATTGTCCTGGGGATTTTGGATTCCTCTAAGTCGCCTGTCTTATTGTGCTTATTTGATACACCCATTGATAATGTTTTGGTACTTTCAAAGCAGAAATTCACTCCTCCATTTTTCACACCAAACATTGGTAAGTAAAAATTATTTTCTTTCTTTGTTGTACAGATATGCTTTAGTGTGTCTACCCGGAAGAAAATGAACTGATTTTTTTAATAGATGTGGATATATGTCCAACTAGTGAATAATATAATGACGAAAATAGAAAATAACTTTGTTTCTTCAATCCTGAAACTCTTATATAGCCAGTGCCAAAGAGAAGTGAAAAATATCATTATTATTAGAGGATAGATTCCGAAGGATTGTACCTCATGTCTGAAAGTTTTATTTGCCGTTAAAAATTACCCAAACAACTACTCAAAATGCCGATGTTAATATCCTTTGAAACTTGCATCAAAACATATCTACCGTTATAACTGAGCTTAAAACCAAAAACAATTGTTTGAAAAGTCTATATTTCTATAAACAAAAATGAGAGAGATTTTATTGGCTCAGGACAATTACGCAATTTAAGTTACAAATGTCTGCTAATGCTAATCCATACTAATAATATACTAATCATTCGTCTTGAAATATAATGACACTTTATCCCACTGGTAAAACAGGGATATTATTTAGCCTTATTACTGCTGTCGCGTAAAATTTTGATCACGGATGTAAGAAAAATGTTCTCAAATAATATACAACTGCGTTCGTTGTCATTCTGTTTCTGGCTAATGTAATGTTTTTTGTTGTTGTTTTTTTTTGTAAAGTTGGGGTAAGTATACATCACAAAGTAGAGGAACAAAGCACTGATACGTCTGTAGGTTTACAATTCAGATATTGGCAGAAATTATTTACCTGCTTTCGACAGATAGGCTTAAGGAATGCTGAACTTCAGAATTACTGACGGACACCGTATACACTGAGTGGTCACAAGTAAATAGACACATAATTTTTCGCCATTTAACTGATTTATGCAAACTAATTTTTGTTCACAGAGCACCATATAAATGAAAATGGTCCGCACACTAATTATCTTATGCTACAACATGCCCAGAACTCAAGGTTCTCTCGAATTGTCAGCTTTTGTTAGAGGAAAGATAGTTGGTCAAGCAGATGGTGGAATAAGTCAGCGGCAAATTTCGCAGAATTTGGGTATCCCGCTTTCGACAGTCAACAGAATCATCGTGCAGTTCAGGAAACACAGCAAGGAAAAAACTGAGCAACGTCC